CCTGGGGGTGTGTTGTTCTGTTTACTGTTAGTGTGCAATTGGATTTTCAACCTAATTAATTGCTCAGCTGTTGAGCCAAATATATACGTATGTGAAAGTAATTAAAGATTATTTTAAAGCAGTCAAGCAAATTATACAAGTTAGATGTTTGCTAGCAGCTCTTATCAGTGTTTTTGCCCCATTTAGGTTGAATGTTTCCACTGGTCAAGTTACTGTGCACATTTAAGAATTGTAAGCATTTGCTGTGTGCTAATCCCTAGAGCGTTAGTTGTGACTTGTTTGTTGCCTGATTCCTAATTAGCCTTGGATGCTATCTAATATATTAAAGCTTGATGCAGCTTGTAGCAGTAGAATTCCTTCTTAGAAAATGCATATGTCCTTTGTGAAAAGGAGAAATTTACAATATAAGGCATAAGCCATTAGGTAATTTCCATGTATTAAGAAAATAAGTGGACTTACTAATGAGTTATTGTCAAATTGAACTATCAAGGTAAGGAACATCATAGAATAAACAAGCAAGCAAGCAAACAAACAAAACTTTAGGCAAAATATCCATTATAAGTACATTTGGAAGCACACTGCAGAATTCAAGGGCAAACATTGATTTTTAAAAATATGACAATAGTATTTTATACTAAAATCATAAGTTGCCATCAATAATTTTGATACGATCAGTCAGGGAGAATTTCTAATTTTCACAAATATTAAGAGTTCATTGTGTTCATTATAGACACGGTGATGAAAGGTTTGTGCCATTCAACCAAACACTACTGTTTCAGTTTCATGATTACTAAAGTTGCTCAGAAATAAACTTCAAATAATAGTGAAGTGGGAAATGACTTGCCCAGCTATATTCTGCATGACTAAACTGTATAAAACCCTAATTTCTATGCAAATAGACTACATTGTTGAATATTACCCAGAAACTGAGAGGAGCTGAATATGATGGAGAACAAACAGGAGATAAGAAACCATTTTGAAGTGCAGAGCTGGGAGGAATAGGTCACACAATGCTGAATAAAGACTAAACCATTTAAGGTGTGTGACAGTTGAGTTCTGAAATTTGTAGATGTACTGTGAGAATGAAAATAGCCTTCAAGAACCTTTTTCTTGGAAAATGGAAGTATGCACAAAAAGAGAAAATTGCATTAAATATCACATTTAAAAGTCAGAACATATTATCATGGAGAAACACATGGTCATGAAGATACATAAACTCTGAACAACCTGGTGTGCATTTGCTGTCTGATTACTACAAATGGAACCTTCACTATGATTTTGTTAAAGGGACATCTAATGGGAGCTAGAGCCTTTGACCAGGCATAGGCAAATTTAGCCCTCCAGATGCTTTGGTACTACAACTCCCATCATCCCTGACCACTGGTCCTGTTAGCTAGGGATGATGGGAGTTGTAGTCCCAAAACATCTGGAGGGCCAAGTTTGCCTATTCCTGGCCTTTGACAAAAGAATGTGAATGTTTCTTAGGCTGCAATTCTTTGCACACTTACCTGGGAATAAGTCCTATTGAACTCAGCGAGTAGAGCTGCACAGGATTGCACTGTTAATTGTTGTGGATGATTAAGTTAATGTGAGTTCATCCGTAGGTGTCTTGATTCTGCAACTGGCACACAAAGATAGAGAAAGGTCCAAGTTGTCTGAAGATGAAGTTCCTTGGAGTATGGAGGAACTTTCTAGAGATCTAATGTGGGGTAACACATTAGATCTTTATAGGCATACTTATTTGCTGCCACTTATACTCTGCTTGTGCATACGTAAAAAACCCAAGTATTACAAATGGATGAAAAGTCTCCAGTTCTCTCTCACTGAAAGGAAACTAAACAGTCACTTTGCCCTTGCAGTTGTCAGTGCTCAAGGAAGTGGAAAATGTGCAGCAATGTTCTCATGTCACAGTAAACCAGTGTTAATGATTTACCCTGGACATATAGATGGTTCCAGTTTCACCCCTGTCATTGGTTTCACATCAAGATTTGTTTAGAGAAAAACAAACTGTGTTTCCCCAATTTATGTGTAACAGTAACTCAGGAGTGATGTGTGTTTTTTTGTGTGTTTTTTTGCTCCTGTGCACCCTACAGAAGGAACAGTGTGGGAACCATCTGCACATGCTCAATAGGCCATTTAGTAAGGTTTATTGTGATGTGTGAACACAGCTGAAATGTTAAGTATGCTCCATGATTTGAGATGGATATTGATTTTCTGATCAAACTTAAAATTGACACAGGTATCTGTGTTGTGGGAACAAGAATTCATTGAAAAGTTGATACTTCATTCTTGGCTGCGAATGTAAACTTGCCCTATTTGTGCCTATGTTACAATAAACCTGTAGATTTTTTTAAAGGATTAGGCATATTGGGATTCTCTACCAGGAGAAAACAAACCCCCTGTAATTGGTTGTAATTCACAAAACAATGGGCCCAATTCCACTAAGTAGGTGCTCTAGCAGGAGCCAATACAAGGCGTTCTGCTGATGCAACCAGACTTCCCCTCTACTTCTCCTGTGTGTCCCCCAATGAGCTTGGCGAAAGGTCCAGAGAACCCCCAGAACAGCATGCAAGAGAGGGCAAATTGCTCCATTGTGCAAGCTGAAATATGTGTGTTGATGGAAAAAATGGAGGAGCATGATGTTGAATTTCTCCTAATCCTTCCTTTTCCTCTTTTATGCCTGATTTTAATATTCATAGAAAACAATTCAGAAAACCCATGAAATATTCTCATTTTTAATTCAAGATGAGGTCAAACATGTCTCTGGGAGCAAAGAGCTGTGATGCACCCTCTATTTCATCATTGTTTTTGGCAGCTGACTCAAGGCTGATATTATTGGGGCTATAAAGTTCTTATAATGTCTAACAAGTCCAAGCCCAAGTACTGTTAGAGTTGCTATTAGATTAAAAGTCCACTGAAGATGCACACACAATACATTTTGTGTGTAGAATGGTGGTGGTAGCCGAGCATTCAGACTTCATGGAGTGGCTATTACTTGTAAAACAAGATGGTGTTTCTGCTTTAAAGGTAGCTCTCAGACCACAGTGTGAAATCTTGAAGTGTGGAATATGAAGGTCTACTACATGCTGATGTGCACATTAGTCTAGGTGGTGTGGTTTGTGAAGTTGATTTCAAAGTGTTCCCCATTTCTCAAACTTCCACATGGCCCTAATCAGGCCACTGGTCGAGCTCCCCAACGTCTCTAGCAGAGGTCTGTTTCATCATTTCTTACCTGGTCATTTATCTGGGAATTTGTAGAGTTGAACCTGGGATCTTTTACATGCAGGGTATCTGCTCTATCGATGAGTTATGGCTCTTGCTCCCCCCTCCCTTGTAATATATACTCAGAGTCCCTACCCATATCAGCTGCATTATCATCTGCTTGATCAACCACCAAATCACGTTTCTGTACTTTGCAAAACGTTCTCGATTAATGGGCCTGCCTGACAACACAAGGATGGAGATGTTCATAAAAACATGGAGTAAAACACATACTTTAATTACTTCCCAGAATATATGCCGTAAGGATCTCCTATGTGAAACTAACACTATAATACATTCTTAAGTGAGAAACTGTAGGTGCTCTCTTGAAAGTACCGTACATCCTATAATCAATTCAGAGGTGAAGGAGATATGGTAGCTGCATTTTTCAATACATTTCCCCCTCCATTTTGTTCCAGAAGGATTTTAATTAATCTTATCAGTAAATGAATTGCCTTTTTTAAAAAAATAGATTGCTGCAGTTTGACATTGATGGGGTTGAAAGATTGTTCTTTTGTAGAGAGAGGAAGTAGCTCAGTACTGTACCACATGCTTTGCGTGTAAAAGATTCTAGGTTTCTTTCCTGTCACTTCAAGGCAGGGCAAGGAAAGACAACTGTCTTGCCTGATATGTCTATCCCATCAGAGCTCTTACCCCCTTGTTTGTTTCCTCCTTATTCCCCCCCCCCCCCGGTTTTTTAAATATGCTTTCTCTCTTTGTATGTCGCTTCAGAAAACTAGAAAGGGAAGTAGTTTATTTGATATCTAATGTTGATTTTTCATTTTAAAAAACCATTTTTTTCTGGTTCTTTAAGTTGGAAGAAAGACACACACACACATCTCTGCTTGGTAAGCATCTGCTCTCTGTGTGTATGTGTGGCAATAATGTCAGAAAGGAGTTAATTTCACTTGGCTTTACAATACAGTAGTTTCAATCTGTTGTACTTACAAAAAATGCCTCAGCAAGATCTGGGTTTGTTTTGTTGTGTTCCAGTCCAATGCTGAATCCCACAGAGAAGGTGGAGAGGCAGGACGTGAGGCAGGAGAGGACTAGGATGGAGGCAAGGCTGGTCAGAAATTTCAGGACCACAGAAAGCTCCAAATGAGCAACTTACTTTGAGAAGGGTTGGGAGCAGACTGAGGCCTTATTCTCTGTTTCCAAACTTCCTCTGTCAGGTTGTACCCCCTTGTGGAGAACTTCAGAGCCTTAAAGGACCAATCCCCTGGTCTGGAGATGGGCATTCTTCCTCCATTCCATACCCTTCCTCCCTGTGCCACTGGACTGGTGAAGTGGGATGTGAGGCATCTGGTTCCTCAGGCCCAGGGGAAGGTACTTGCGATGGTCCAGGCTCTAGCTCTGGTGATCCCCAAGGTCCCTTTGAAGAATCATGTCTGCCAGCCTCAGTTGCTGTGGTTCCCTGATCTCTAGCAGTCAGCTTAGAAGCAGAACTTGGTCCAGCTCCCTAGGTGGTGCCTCTGCAGCATCTGACTCTGTGTCTGGATTGCTGCTGGATTCAGGGTTCATTAAGTGTGTTGATGGTGTAATGCTGATTATGGGAATAATAATCATTTCATACCAGTTTGGCTTGCAGCTAAATTTTGGTTGAGGAGGGACTCATTCTATATTTTTTTAGTGACCACCACCGTATAAAAATCAAATCACGTAATTAAGCAACTTGAAAAGAGAAAGGGGAGGGGAAACTCTTATACTAATGAAAATTGTTTCCTTTCTTTTCCTAGTAAACAAGCACAAGCCATGGATTGAAACATCTTATCATGGAGTTATTACTGAAAACAATGACACAGTCATTTTGGATCCTCCACTGGTTGCTTTGGACAAAGATGCCCCTGTTCCATATGCAGGTAGGAAATATTTTGTTCAATGTCACCATAAACTTTGTGTGAAGCTCATCAAATGGATTTATACAATTTGTATGCAGTATACACATCACACAAATGCTATGCTTCAATGTTCATTTGCCGAACCATCTAGCTTGAAACCTGGGCCCATAGAGCTTGAAATGAAGCGTGTTTATGATTGTTGTGCATTCACTATAAAGACAAAATAGATCATAAGCAATGTAATACGGCAAGTTTTTTGGTTGTGGCTGTTTAGAAACTACTTGTTAGAACATCAATTCGGAGTTTGCTTTATGTAAATTGTGTATTATGATTGCCTACACTAAACTCATTTGCTTGCAAGCAGTTGGTGAGCTACATAAAGAATATTTTACAATCACTTGCATCATGTTTAATGGTGTTTTAAGTTATTATAGTCAGAACCAAGATTGGAAGTGTTAATGGAGGGTTTCAAGATTCCTAGTGTCGTTTGTTTATGACAGATGTCTGTCTTCAGAAGTTTACAGTTGCAATTTATTTTCCTATATAGTTAATTATGAACTTCTTGAACAGAAAATAACTACCTTCTTTGTCGCATTAAATGATGTTACAAAAAGATGGGATAAAACTACTGTCTGGTTAACAGTGCAAGAAATGTAGCATTTTATTTAAACCTTTAAAGCATGAGCATTAAATATGAGATTTGTGCAGATTTAAAGATGTATGGATTTGGAACATCAAGATTTATTTATCACTTTGGCTTGAGAATCTCTGTCCCTTCCATTTATGTGATACCTCTAGCAGTAGTATTTACTGTAGTTGTTGTGCTTTCATTATCCAATTTTCTCCCCCTGTTGTGTTACAGTAGTTTCCTACGTTTGTAGAAGCTGTTACCAATATAGATGGCATGACTGAACTTCCCCTGGTCCCTCAAATTCTGCCATAAACTAATCGGTTCCTGCAAATGGATGTGCATATTGTTTGCTTTGAAATAGTGTTTTTGTATATTAGATTGAAGCCGGAGAAAACATTTTAAGTCTTGATAGAAGTGAACTTGAACACACATTATGAGTCCTGAAAACAAATGCTTCAGAGTGCAGTGAATGGTGTGTCCAAATTATTTCTGGCACACCTATATTTTTATATCAAAGGAGATTGTCTGGTAAATGCAGTTTCTTGGGCCTTGTATAGAAGATAATAATAGTTCTAGCCTTGATTCCAAGTGCACTTTTCTTTCTTTTTCTTCTTTCCTCTCTTTTCATTGTTATTGTGGAAATCTATTACCACTGCATTCTAGCTTCACTTTTTTTCTTCTTGTGACATTTCTTGTCAACAATTAATTGATGAAGCCACTTAACTTCAATTGCTGTACCTCAAATCTGTTCTGAATTTTATCAACCCTTTTATTGATTCTCTGCTGGATATCATAATATAGTATTAGTTGGAAAATTGTAAGTATCTCTTTGATATAAACAAATGAAGCATATCTATTTTGGTATTGATTTTTGTCACAGCCACTTTTTATGTAACTACAAAATGTCCCTATTCCAGAAGTATGGTCTATATCGTTAATAAATGATTTAGATTTTCCCCCATGGATTCTTATTATGGAATTTTTGTTTTGTATAATTATATTGAAATATTTACTGAACTGTTGTATCATGAGTTTGCAACAAAGTCAAAAGTCAATCATTTCCTCCAACTAGAGGTTGGTTCGTGGTATTCCTCTCACATTCTGGAGATACATGGTATTTTCTGCAGTGGCTTAGATTGCAATCCTAAACACACATACCAGGGAGTGAGCTCCATTGAATACAGTCAATGCTACTTCTGAGTAAACAAAGAGAGAATTGTGCTGTTAATATATTTTCTTAAAAATCTAGAGCAATGTTTTTCAGTGGTGGTACCATTGGTTGAAAATAAATGGTGTGGACATTAGATGTGGGATAAATGTTTATTGATGTGGGATAAATATTCCTCAGTTTTTTTTATAAACTATAAAATGATGGCTGGAATATATCTCTGTTGTTGTTGTTTAGTCGTTTAGTTGTGTCCGACTCTTCGTGACCCCATGGACCAGAGCACGCCAGGCACTCCTGTGTTCCACTGCCTCCCGCAGCTTGGTAAAACTCATGTTGGTAGCTTCGAGAACACTGTCCAATCATCTCCTCCTCTGTCGTCCCCTTCTCCTTGTGCCCTCAATCTTTCCCAACATCAGGGTCTTTTCCAGGGAGTCTTCTCTCCTCATGATGTGGCCAAAGTATTGGAGCCTCAGCTTAATGATCTGTCCTTCCAGTGAGCACTCAGGGCTGATTTCCTTAAGAATGGATAGGTTTGATCTTCTTGCAGTCCATGGGACTCTCAAGAGTCTCCTCCAGCACCATAATTCAAAAGCATCAATTCTTCGGTGATCAGCCTTTATGGTCCAGCTTTCACTTCCATACATCACTACTGGGAAAACCATAGCTTTAACTATACGGATCTTTGTCGGCAAGGTGATGTCTCCGCTTTTTAAGATGCTGTCTAGGTTTGTCACTGCTTTTCTCCTAAGAAGCAGGAGTCTTTTAATTTTGTGACTGCTATCACCATCTGCAGTGATCATGGAACCCAAGAAAGTAAAATATCTCACTGCCTCCATTTCTTCCCCTTCTATTTGCCAGGAGGTGATGGGACCAGTGACCATGATCTTAGTTTTGTTTTTGTTTTTTTGATGTTGAGCTTCAGACCATATTTTGTGCTCTCCTCTTTCACCCTCATTAAAAGGGTCCTCCTCACTTTCTGCCATCAAGGTTGTGTCTTTTGCATACCATACACTTCAGTTATTGACCTGAAAATTTAAATCTTTATTTTGAAATAATGATTTCAGATTATGTTATTTCCAAGTAAGTATGATTAGACATACTATCAAGATTTCTTTTCTTTTTTTTATCAAATAGGAAAAACATGTATATAGTCCTTAATGGGTGAGTTTGAATACACCATCATTTTATGATGCTTAGGAGCATTGCTCTTGGATCAAAGTACATTTCTTTTGGTCTTCTATGCTGCTTAAAGCAGGAATAGGGTGTTATCTCCAGAGCTTCGGCAGTGACTCAAACTTGTCCTATAGCTGAGTCTCTTACTTGGCCTCACATTCTTAATCCAACGGCAGGACAACCACAATTGCTGGTTAACTTGGTTGCAGGTTTGTGGTCTTCACAATTACATATGAATTTTTCAATCCATCATTTCCCCCAAGATTAACACAAAAGTCAGTAAATGCAGTTGACCTATTGTACTTGCTAAATTATATGAACACCTCATTAATATAGTCATGCCATTTAACTAACTTTCTGGTACTTTCACTGTTGGTCAATGACTGCTTATTTGTCAGATGTGTTCACTTGTTTCGCAACTAATTTTCACTGGAGGTGGTTCCATTATCCACTACCTGTGACATACTTGATCTAAATATGGTTGATCAAACTACAGTTAGTTAGTTATAAGAAACACATATCAAACAGCAGTTTTGGATCATGATTTCTCAACTAACTGAAATTTGAAATAAGTACAACTTTCAGTATTTGGAATAATGGGAAACTGTAGCTTGTTACAACCATAAATTCAATTTATAAACTTTCTTGTCTGTTTATAGAGAAGTGAAGGCTTGCTCTGGCCCATTCTCTTAACAGAAAATCATGTTACATCTGAACTGAACTAATCCTAAGGCTTGAACACAGCTTTGATAGACCTTATAAGGAAGATATTTCCTTGTGAAACAATTAGCAGTGAACAAGCTATGAAAGAGTGACCTCTGTCAAGGACTTATTCTGCTGTATATCCACCAATGCCAGAAATGAAATCACTTGTCAACATTTCCACCACTGCATATGTAGTAGGAGATATGTCTGTATGTAGAAGAATAAACTTACCCAAATCAGATAATCTGATAAAACATACAGACCCCAACACTTCTTTTTCCATGCACATTCTGCACATTGAAGGTACACATAGTCTCAAGAACTTTCTCTCATCCTCTATCTCTCCTCTAACCTTTTAAAAGTAGAACAAACTTGGCATAAAAACAATGGTGCAAGTTCATTTTGTGAAGCTTTTCACTTGAAACATGTTTCCCAGGACAATATGTTACTAGTGTAAAGCATGTAATTGTGCCCCCTTGTCCAATTTTCATTTGCCCTTAATACAGTGGTACCCCGCAAGACGAACGCCTCGCAAGACGGAAAACCCGCTAGACGAAAGGTTTTTCCGTTTTGGAGACGCTTCGCAAAACGAATTTCCCTATGGGCTTCCTTCGCAAGACGAAAGCCCATAGGGAAATCTCCGGGACAGGGCGTCTTGCCCACTGTCCTCGGACCTCCTCCCGCCGCCAGGCTTCGGAAGGCTGCTCTGAAGCCTGGCGGGGGGCGGAGAGGTTTTTTAAAAAACCCCGGGACAGCGGAGGACTTCTCCGCTGTCCGGGGCGATTTTAAAATGCTGGCGGGCGGCAGCGCTGCCGCCCAGCAGCATTTAAAAAAACCCCGGGACAGCGGGGGACTTCTCCTTTGTCCCGAGGTTTTTTAAAATGCTGGCGGGCGGCAGCGAAGGCTTCGCTGCCGCCCGCCAGCATTTTAAATTCGCCCCGGACAGCGGAGAAGTCCCCCGCTGTCCCGAGGTTTTTTTAAAATGCTGGCGTCTTCCCCTTTCTCCCCGGACCTCTTTTGAAGCAAGGGGCGGCAACGCGGAGAAGCGATCTTCTCCCCGTTGCCGCCCCTTGCTTCAAAAGAGGGGACAGAGGGAAAGGCCCGTGCCTTCCTCTCTCTCCCCCCGGACCCCTTTTGAAGCAAGGGGCGGCAAAGGGGAGAAGCGATCTTCTCCCCGTTGCCGCCCCTTGCTTCAAAAGAGGGGAAGGCTGGCAGGGGTGAAAATCTTTGTCCCCCCTGGCTGCCTTCCCGGGAGGGCTTTTAAATCGCCCCGGACAGCGGAGAAGTCCTCCGCTGTCCGGGGCGATTTTAAAATGCTGCCGTGGGGGGGGGAGCAAAGACTTT